ATTACACCTACCGTGAAGCACCCAGTTAGTGTGATGATCTGGCGTTATGTGACAGCAAAAGGTGTGGGCAGAATTTGCTTCATTAATGGGAATGTAAAACCACCAAATACATAAATACGTCAGCCCAAACTGAAGCCTTCCCCATGTGATCTTTTCCCAGATACTGAAGCATTATTTATTCATTTATTTTATATTTCAACAGGATTCAGCTCCATGTCATGTTACTCCTTTGTGCAAAAGGCGGTTTCAATATAATCATATTCCACTGCTGGAATGGCCTGGTGGGTTCTGTCCCAGCCGTTCTGTTGGCGGGGGCCCCCTCCCCGGCAGCCCTGGCCCGCTCCCCTTAAGAACCAAATACAAACTATACAATAACCCAGTAATAATAATATTTGCGCTTGTCTTTTTTTTTTTTTAATATATTTTTATTGCCTTTTTCCAGATATATCAAACAACAAAAAAGAAAAAAAAAAAGAAAAATACAGAAAAAGGAAAACAAGGACTTCCCCACGTCTCCCACCCCCTGCTTTCTTAACAATAAAATGTCAGCAAATTAATATCTTGTTTCATGTGTTATTAATACTTTCCAGTAATTGTCTTTTAAGTTCAAAATACTTGTTTTCAATTTACTTTTACTTTAATCTAAACACAATATTATTTTAAACTTTAGTCCTCTCATTGATCCTACCCTAATTTCCAATATAAAAAAATCTTGATGCTGGAGCTTGGTTTTTCAATTTATGCACATTATTGACAATCAAATAACTTATAATGTTTTTGTAAATAGTCCTTAAATTTTTTCCAGTTCTCCTCCGTTGTTTCTTCTCCCAAATCTCGGATTCTGCCAGTCATTTCGTCCAATTCCATATAGTCCATCAGTTGCATATGCCATTCTTCCAGAGTGGGCAAATCTTGTGTCTTCCAGTGCTTTGCAATAAGTATTCTTGCTGCTGTTGTTGCATACATAAAAAAGGTTCTATCGTTCTTTAACACATTCTGGCCGACAATACCCAAAAGGAAGGCCTCTGGTTTCTTGGGAAAGGTATACTTAAATACCTTTTTTAACTCATTGTAAATCATTTCCCAGAAAGCCTTTACCCTTGGGCATGTCCACCAGAGGTGAAAGAATGTCCCTTCCGCCTCCTTACATTTCCAACATCTGTTGTCAGACAAATGGTATATTTTAGCAAGTTTAACTGGGGTCATGTACCACCTGTATATCATTTTCAAAATATTTTCTTTCAATGCACTACATGCCGTGAATTTCATACCGGTGGTCCATAACCTTTCCCAGTCATCAAACATGATGTTGTGCCCAATGTCTTGAGCCCATTTTATCATGGCGGATTTAACTGTCTCGTCCTGAGTGTTCCACTTAAGCAGCAAGTTGTACATTCTCGAAAGTACCTTTGTCTTTGGTTCTAGCAGTTCCGTCTCTAATTTCGATTTTTCCACCTGGAATCCTATCTTTTTGTCCAATTTAAAGATCTCTTGAATTTGAGCGTAATGAAACCAGTTTTGCACCTTATGTTTTACTTTTTCATAGCTCTGTAACCTCCAATTGTCACCTGATTTTTCTAGCATTTCCCAATATTTCAACCAACCGGTCTCCATATTGGGCTTTTTTCGGGCCTTGGCCTCCACTGGTGATAGCCACCTTGCGCTTGTCAAAGGGTTGCAGGAATTTGTGTCTAGGTTGGGGGAGGGAGGGGTTGCCCCTCCAGCAGACATCATGCACATGCAGCCCACCCCCAAAATCAGCACCATCACTTTTGTGACTTGTCCCCGCAAAACACTTCATCGCAGTTTCTACCTATCTATTCAAAGGGCCTCTGCTGCACGATACCAAATGTAAGAATTCACTGATCAATGTCTCTATGTACTGGCTCAGTGGGGAAACTTCAGAAATTCATCTAGACCTGTGAGCTCAGCTCCTCAGCAGCCCCTCTGCCTGAGCGATAATCCCTGGCCTCCTGAGACCTGAGTGCCAGAGAGGTAGCCATGCCAGAAATAACAAACCCAGATGAAGACAAAAGGGTGGGAAACCGGGAAATGTAAAGATCTCTTTTGTGACACTCGCTGGGTGTTTGGTGGAGGGCAAGGGGAACCATGGGGCAGGGTCCAGGATGCTCAGATTACTGCCTCCAGATGTAGGAGTGATGTAGTTTTTTTTTTGGGGGGGTGTAACCTGGGGATTAGCGGCTAATACAACTTTGGGTTCTCTTTTGTTCAGGGCTTCCATCCTGTTCCACCTGGTGGCAGGTGGGAGTCCTGTCGCGACACTCTTCACTCAAGACCAATTCGCTCTGCTCTTCCTGCCCGGTGTCCTTGTTTTTTGTCCAAGGGAGCCTCAGATTTCTCCGTTAACAATTCTCCACGGTGCCGTGCACTGAAATTAACTAAATTTGGGGGCAATGGGCAGATCTTTGCACCCTGGAGGGGGCTTGGACTCCCGAGCGCAGCCAAGCCTAGGATGGGGTCTGCGCAGAAAGTGAGGGGTGGAGACCCCTGCGGGCAAGGAAATATGGCAACCAGCGCTGGGCTTCCCTGGGCTTCCCCTTGACAAGCGCCTGGGAGGAGGGCCGGGGGGGGTCCAGCCCTGGGGGTCTTGAGGGAGAAATCCGAGGGCTCCCTTGGACAAAAAGAAAGACACCAACCAGGATAACCTGGAGCAAAACAGCAGCCTGTGGGCTTGGTCTTGATTGATCTGTTGCAACAGGGGGCTCCCCTCACTTGCAGGAGAGGGGAGGGACCCAGAAAAATGGGGTGCAAGGCCTTCTCAAGACTTTTGACATTGCCCCCCCTGTAGATCAAGCCCAGCCCCATTCCTCCCCTTCCTGAATTCTGGGATGAGTTTCCTTCCTTCCTGCAAAGCCCTTTTCCCTGCAAACTGTTCCTCCGGCTTCTGGCCAAGGGAAGGAGATGCTCTGAGCCCAACCGATAGCCTCGCCCCCAAAAGGATATCTGGGCCTTGAGGGAGCCAGGGGGGCAGCTGCCCCCCGAAATCCATGGAAAAAGAAGAATCTGAGGTTTTGCCAAGGGGGACTCGGCATTGCAAGGGTTAAAGGGAACCGAGCTGCCTTCCTAGAAAGGCCAGGAAGCGGGCGGGGGGGGGGCAGGTCCTCCAGAGCCAAGGCCCCTCCCTCCCCAGTCCTTCCCTGCTTGGGTGTCTCTCCTGGGATCTGGTGAGTCTCCTCTCTCTCTGGGATCTGGTGAGTCTCCCCTCTCTCTGGGATCTGGTGGGGGTCCCAGGGCTGCAGCAGGGGAGGGGGCCGGGGGGGACCCCAAGCCAGGGAGGAGAGGGTCAGGGGTGCAAAGACCCCCCCATATGCTCCTGCTACCCAAAGGAGGGAGGAGCCCCGGGGCTGAGAGCCAGAGCTTTTTGCCAGATTCCCCAGGAGGAAGGTCAGGGAAGGAGAGAGCGGGGGGGGACCCCAAGTCAGGGAGGAGAGGGTCCTGCCAGGGAGGGGCCAGGTCTGCAACACTCTCCTTCCTGCAGATCAGAGGGTCCCAAACTCAGTTGGCCTTCCGCCCCCCCCCCCGTCAGAAAAAATCTCCCTTCTCCCAAAGGAGTCCCTAGGACTGTGTGACGTCGCTCAGCAGTATTGCAGAACAGGGGAAACATCTGCAAATGGTTTTCGAAAGCTGGAAGAGGAGGTGGAGGAAGGAAGGAAAATTGGGAAAGAGAGGCCAGGAATAAAGAGAGGGATCCCAGCCCAGAGTCTGGCTGCTGCATTGGGGACCAGTTTCCCAGTGTCTCCCAGGGCAGCTCCCCACGGAGGCCACTGCAGCAATCCCCTCGCACCCAGAGCAGGGCATCCCAGGACCACATCCTCTCTCTCCCAAAGGGATTGTTGCTGGCAAAGCAGCCGGAAATGGGTGCTGCTACTCCCTGAGCCTCCAGGGACCTGGCCATCAATGGCTGCGTGTGTGTTAAGATATCTAATAGAATCATCATCATCATCATCATCATCAAACTACCCATCCTTTACTCTGAGTTTCAAGGGAGATGTATTTGGCCCCACCCACTTGGCCCTCAGGGGGTTGACTAGATACATACCTGGCCCTCAAGAGAAAAGAAAAGGGACCCCACCCCAGGAGTCTGTCTTGAGAGCGGCAGAGAGTCCAAGTGCAAGGAGACAGAAGCAGGGGGGAAATGTGCCCTGAAGTGGGGGTGGGGGGAGAGCAACTCCTGAGGACCCCCGGATGAGGACCCCCACTAGAGCCAAGCATCCATTTTTCAAATGACTCCCTTGTCAGTCAGTTCTGACTTCATGCATTGACTGGAAGGCAGGAGCAACCAGGCTGACTCATCTCCCAGAAATCCCTTCAGTTGCCTCCACATTCTGCATTGCTAGAGGGCTGGAGACTTACCTCTTCTCCCCTTCCTCCTCCTCTTTCTTTTCAAAAAGGTATCTCATGGTTCAGGCTCTGGTCCCATCCAGTCCTGATTCCTGGCAAGACTCATCCATGCTTGTTCAGGGATCTGTTTCTTCTCCTGACCTACAAATTCTGTAACAGAACAATGTATTTGCTTTGTAGGATTTGCTAGAGCTTCTCATTAAGACGGACAGAACTTGGCAGAAGACCAAAGGGTTCCTTCCGATCTCTCAGAGGCTTCCTGAGAGCACAGATGGATGAGCAAGACCCAGCTGGACCTGAAGAAGGAAGAGGCCATGCCAACCAAACTGGGAGCAGTGGGGGATTCTGGGAAAACTCTGGGCAGATGTTCCTGGGTGAGGAGGGCACCCTCCCCTCAGAGGGGCGGAGCCAGCAGGTGAGGCAGTTCTGCTGCCAGGAGGCCAAGGGACCCCGAGAGGTTTGCAGCCGACTCTACCACTTTTGCCACCAGTGGCTGAAGCCAGAAAGGCACACGAAAGCTGAGATGCTGGACCTGGTGATCTTGGAGCAGTTCCTAGCTGTCCTTCCACCGGAGATGGAGAGCTGGGTGAGGGAATGCGGAGCGGAGACCAGTTCGCAGGCAGTGGCCCTGGTCGAAGGTTTCCTCCTGAGTCAGGCAGAGGAGAGGAAGCAGGCAGAGAGAAAGCAGGTGAGGGAGACTTTCCTCTGGATACTACCTTGACCAGAGCCAGGGCCTTTTTGGATGTGGCTCCGGCCTGGTGTAACGCTCTCTCACAAGAGACCAGGGCACTGCGGGATTTGACATGCGCCAGGCCTTTGTTCAGGGTTCAGTCTGATTCTTTTCTTTCAGTACAAGAATAAGCACTAAAAAGGCTTCCTAGCCCGCTCACACCTCCTTTATAAGACCAGTGGTAATAGTTGGCCATAGCGAATATTAACCACTCTCATTTTTACTTGACTTGATCATGGATGGAGGACTTGACCTGGCATGTGTAACAGAGACTTGGTTGGATGAAGCAGATGGGCCTGTTCTTGCCACCGCTTGTCCACCAGGTTTCTCTTACGCACAGCAACCCAGGTCATGTGGGTGGGGAGCGGGGGTTGCAGTAATTTTTAGGAAGTCATTAGCTTGCACCAGGCGTCCTATTGGGAAGACCCAGTTCTCTGAGTGCATGTTCTGGAAGTTGGGCAATGGGGCAGTACAGGATTCCTTTTGGTGTACCGACCTCCCCGCTGCACCAAGGATTCCCTGTCTGAGCTGCTTCAGGTCGTGGCGGATATGCTCCTGGAGACACCTAGCTTGGTTGTCCTAGGGGATTTTAACATCCATGCCGACACGACCTTACAAGGGGCAGCTCGGGACTTCGTGGAAAGCATGGCCTCCATGGGGCTGTCCCTGAAGAAGTCTGGCCCAACCCATAGCTGCGGACATGCCTTGGACCTGGTGTTTACCTCTATGGATGTTGGTGATCTGACACTAAGTAAAAGCGAAACGAAAGAAGTGCCATGGTCAGATCACTTCCTGGTGCAACTGGACTTCTCCGCGACCCTTCCCCTCTGCAGGGAGGTGGGACCGATTCAGATGGTCCGCCCCCGCCACTTAATGGATCCAAATAGTTTCCAGAGAGTGGTAGGGGATGCTTTATCCCATGTTGATGGCCTTTCAGCTGATTCCCTGGTGGCCCGCTGGAATGTGGAGTTAACCAGGGCTATTGACTGTTTGGCTCCGAAGCGCCCTCTCCGATTGCATGGAGCCCGGACAGCCCCGTGGTTTTCCACGGATCTGAGGGCAATGAAACAATCGTTGAGACGGCTAGAGCACCGGTGGCGGATGACCCATTCTGAAGCTGACCGGACACAGGTTAGAGCTCAATGTCGAGCCTACCAAGTGGCGGTAGCGACGGCGAAGAAGACGTTCTTCACCGCCTCTATTGCATCTGTAGAAAACAGCAGCAGGAGACTTTTTCAGGTGGTCCACAATTTAGCGGAACCACCTGCTACATCTGGGCCCAGTACGGGCCACGTGATCTCCTGCAATGATTTTGCAAAGTTTTTTGCAGATAAAGTCGCTCAGATTCGGGAAGAGGTAGACGCCACCGTGGGAGCAGGGCCGGGGCGGGAGAGTGCTAGAGTCCTGTCTAGTCAAATTGCGTGGGATCAATTCCAATCTGTTACCTCCGAGAATGTGGACAGGCTGCTTGGACGAGTGAAGCCAACCACCTGTCTCCTTGATCCTTGCCCATCCTGGCTTATAAAAGCTAGCCGGGAAGGACTAGGCGATGGGCTTCCTGGGGTGGTGAATGCTTCCCTCCGTGAGGGTGCCTTCCCAGACCTGCTGAAAGAGGCGGTTATTAAACTGCTTCTTTAAAAACCATCTTTATTGCGGCCACGATGGCCAACTATCGCCCAGTCTCAGGGTTCTGTCCTCTCCCCCATGCTTTTCAACATCTACATGCAGCCGGTGGGAGAGATCATCAGGGGTTTTGGGCTGGTGTTCATCAGTATGCAGATGATACCCAGCTCTACCTCTCTTTCAAATCAGAACCAGTGGAGGCGGTGACTCTTCTCCCTGGTCTCGGATTCTGCCAGTCATTTCTGCCAGTTCCATATAGTCCATCAACTTCATCTGCCATTCTTCCTGAGTGGGTAAATCTTGTGTCTTCCAATACTTTGCAATGAGTATTCTTGCTGCTGTTGTAGCGTACATAAAAAAAAATCTATCCTTCTTTGGCACCAATTGGCCGACTATGCCCAGGAGGAAGGCCTCTGGTTTCTTCAAGAAGGTATATTTAAATACCTTTTTCAGTTCATTACATATCATTTCCCAGAAAGCTTTAATCCTTGGGCACGTCCACCAAAGGTGAAAGAATGTACCTTCAGTTTCTTTACATTTCCAACATTTATTATCGGGCAAATGATATACTTTTGCAAGCTTGACTGGGGTCATGTACCACCTATAAATCATTTTCATAATATTCTCTCTCAAGGCATTACATGCCGTAAACTTCATACCTGTGGTCCACAACTGTTCCCAGTCAGCAAACATAATGTTATGTCCCACATCTTGTGCCCATTTAATCATAACAGATTTCACCGTTTCATCCTTAGTATTCCATTTCAACAGCAAGTTATACATTTTTGACAAAGTCTTAGTTTTAGGTTCTAACCGTTCTGTTTCTAATTTTGATTTTTCCACCTGGAAACCAATTTTCTTATCCAAATTATATGTCTCCATTATCTGATAATAATGAAGCCAATCTTGCACTTTGTTTTTTAATTTCTCAAAACTCTGCAATTTCAATTTGCCTCCTTGTTGTTCCAAAATTTCCCAATATTTCGGCCATTTGGCCTCCATATTGAGCTTTTTCAGAGCTTTTGCTTCCATCGGTGACAACCACCTTGGAGTTTTATTTTCCAATAAGTCCTTATCCAGGCATTATCTAGACATTAAACAATGCTTTCCTGACAATGTGATTTTTAAATGCTTTATGTGCTTTGATCTTATCATACCACACATATGCATGCCATCCAAATACATTGTTAAAACCTTCTAAATCCAAAATGTCAGTGTTTTCAAGAAGGAACCATTCTTTCAACCAGCAAAAAACTGCTGATTCATAGTAAAGTTTAAAGTCTGGCAGGGCAAATCCACCTCTTTCCTTTGCATCTGTTAATATTTTAAATTTTATTCTAGGCTTCTTGCTGTGCCAGACAAATTTAGAAATATCTCTCTGCCACCTCTTGAAACAGTCCATTTTGTCCACAATTTGCAATGTTTGAAACAAAAACAACATTCTAGGCAATACATTCATTTTTACCGCAGCAATACGGCCCAGCAGTGAAAGCTTCAAATTTGATCAAATTTCTAAATCTTTTTTCGCTTCAACCCAGCATTTTTCATAGTTGTCTTTAGGCAGAGGGCCTTCTTAGTAGTGGCGCCCTCCCTGTGGAATGCCCTCCCACCAGATATCAAAGAGAAGAACAACTACCAGACTTTTAGAAGACATCTGAAGGCAGCCCTGTTTAGGGAAGTTTTTAATGTTTGATGTATCACAGTATTTTAATATTCTTTTGGAAGCCGCCCAGAGTGGCTGGGGAAATCCAGCCAGATGGGCGGGGTATAAATAAATTATTATTATTATTATCATTATTATTATTATTATTATTATACCAGTGGCCTGCCGTCTGTCCAGATTTTAATTTGTTTTGAACTAATTTTAAGAAGTATTTTAATTAATCGCTTGCCTGTTCTTATGTTCTTTGTATACTGTGTTAGATTTATGATGTTAGCCGCCAAAAGATTGGCTCCGGCCAGGGAGGGTGGGGTACAAATAAAAAAATATTATTATTATTATTATTAGGGGCTCCAAAGAGGATGGAGAACATCCCATAATGCTCTGCTGATGGCCCATGCTTTTTCTGGGAAGGCATCCATGGAATGAGATCTCACACCCTTAAAGTTTTTTACTTTTCCATTATCTTTCTGCTATTTCTTGTCATTCATTCTCTATTTTGAATCCTTGTTGCTTTTTCAGGAAAAGGATTGTTTTGAGGAAATGGACCTGGATTCCTGTGAGGCAGAGAGGCCTCCGTTGGACACCAGAGAGAGGCCGCCGGGTAAGGAAGAAGGCGGTTTTTCTCCATTTGGTCTCATTCTGTTGGTTTCCCATATAATCTCTGGGTTCTTTTCATCAAGTTTTTTTTTTTGGGGGGGGGGAGTTGGGAGGAAGGGTCCAGAGGAAGAGAGATGTATTTCTGCATGACTAACATATGAAGTGGGCACAAATGTCCAAATGCACTCAGCAGGTAAGGCTTTCTGAAAGGCCCATCTGTAGATAGAGATGCCCTGTTTCACCTGTGAGAGACATGGGCACTCCTGGCATCCTGCTTACCTTTTTTTCTTTTGCAGGTGACAGAATGATGCCGGCAAGACCTCCTGATCCGTCTTTTCATGGGAGCAGAAGGGAAGCAGCGGCTGTGGAATCAGATCAGGTCAGGGGAAGCTGCCTTGTGGTGACAGAGGCCGAGGGATGGAGCAATGTCATGGACTGGTTGGGCACAGAGGAATGGTGGGAGGAAGCAGCCAGGGAACCAGGAAGGGAAGATGTCTCAGCCCAAGGAGTGGAGGTGGAGGAAGGATGAGCAGTGAAAGGGAGAAGAGGGAGAAGTCTGGGAATAGGAGGTGTCAGAAGCTGAAGGGGAAACAGGGCTTAGTGAGCTGGGAGACTCTGTGTCAGAATGTAGTCCAGAATCGGAGGCAGAAGAGGAAGGAGGCGAGTGGGAGGAGGAAGGTAGAGAGGCAGAGGTGAGTCAGGAGAAGGAGGAGCCACCGGGGGCTCCCTCTCCTTCTGCCATAAGCCACCCTCCCTGCTTGTCTCTCAGAGCCCGGAGACTTCTGACAATGGAGGAGCAAAGGCAGGCTGCACATTGGCGCACTGTTGGATCACTTGCCAGAAACCCCAGAGAGAGGGGACTTGGAAAGCTGTGGGGAGCTAGTGGCCTTCTCTTTTGGCAGCTGATTTCATGGAGGAAGACCCTGTCATGGAATTCTACTCAGTATTGATCCAGGCAGAACTCCAATGTATAGTTACCAGAGTGAAAACGTAAAGACGTTGCAGGATTCCCCAAAATAGACCAGAGGCAATTGTATTTCACCCAGCAGAGCTTTACTGCTACTGAAGACAAATGAGCATAATGGTCCCAAATCCAAAACATTCAGGATTGGCCCCCTCCATAAGAAATCCAGTTGCAGCAAACTTAACTGAAATTTCCCACAACTTATAATAAGTTTAAACCTCAACACTCAGCATACTATGTACAGAACACCAGAAAGGAGAGAGAGAGAGAGAGAGAGAAACCCAGGCTCCTTCTGGCCTCTTCTTATAGTCAGCATGACCTTGACAGAAGACGTAACAAAACCACTTTAACCCAGCTGTACTCAGGCTGCGAGACCTGGGTCATTGTGCCAGGCAATCAGTCCAGGATTCTGCTCAGCAGCAGTGCTGACTTCTGTGAGTAGAATGGATGGACACGCATACATGGGAACCCTGATCTTCTTTCAGAGAGTCTGCAAGACTCTGCTGATGAGGAAGAGATAGAGGTTGAACCTGCTGCTGAGGCACAGAGCCCTGACCCAGAGCAGTTAGAGGGAAGAACTTCTCCTAAAGCTGTGAAGCTTGAACAGAGAAGTGCTCCTTCCTCACCCACAGGTTCAGCTGAGAAATCTAAATGGCGCAGTAAGTCAGAGGGGGAGCTCTCTGAGGCCAAGGACGTTCTAGCTGGTCCTAGTGGGTCTGAGGGGGTACCTGAAACTGGGTTGAGATGTTCAGCTCGCACAACGAAAGGTAAACCTCCTGACAGGTTTGCAGTCACAAGTGTGTGGGTTGGCATTGGAACAGTGTGAACCCGAGAGTTTTGAGGGTGTTCAGAAACTGCCTCAGGAAGAAGCCAGGAAATGGCATGAGGTAATGCAGAAGGAGATGAGCTCAATGGAGTCTCTAGGCGTGTTCTCCCTCACAACGTTGCCAGTGGGGAAACAGGCCGTGAGCAGCTGCTGGGTTTACCGTCTTAAACCACAGCAACAGGCTAGGCCAGTAGCCAGAGGGTTCACACACAAAAGGGGCTGCATTATACTGCGGTATATGCCCCCACATCCAGAAGTGAAACTCTGCACATGCTCTTAGCCATTGCTGCACAAAGAGTTTTTCAGGTGAATCACTTTGATGTGGATTTGAACTCAGACTTCCAGGAGGATCTGTACATGCTTCCTCCTCCAGCGTTTGAGGGCAATGAGCCGAATACTGTATGGAAGCTTCACAAGTCCATTTATGGCTTAAAGCAATCGGCCAGTAATTGAAACTTGTACCTGAATGAAGCCTTAGAGAAGCTAGGTTTCAGGAAGAGTCTTGCTGACAGCTGCCTGTACCTTAAAGGGTCAGGAGTCACAGGAAATGTTGTTGATCTTTGTTGATGACATCATTCACATCTCAGGGGTAAACAAACAGGTGCAGAAGTTTGCCAAAGAGCTTGGAAAACGGTTTCAGCTCAAGAACCTGGGTGCAGTAAGGATCTACTTAGGTGTTCAGATAGACAGGACTGAAGATGGAAGCTTCTTGCTCAGTCAGAAAGGCAAGATTGAGCTGTTGCTTGAGAAGTTCAGAATGTCTGATTGTGCAGGGGTTAGGGCACCTATGGAGACGAGCTACATGAAAGACAGTCGGCTAGCAGAACGCATTGAGTGCGAGAACGCTGAGCTCTTCCAGTCAGCTCTGGGTAGTCTGTTGTATCGCTCCCAATGGAGCAGGCTGGACATTGCTTTTGCTACCAATCTGCTCAGTAGGGAAGCATCAAAGCCCAGTGTAAATGCCTGGCATGGTATCAAGCGGGTGCTGCGTTACCTGCAGGATACCAAGGACTTCAGTCTCAAGCTGTCAGCTGCAGGTGAGATGGCGCTTACTTGCTGGGGAGATAGCGACGGGGTGAATCTGGATGACAGGAAGTCCGTATCTGTGATAGTAATAAACCTTGGGGAATCTCTAGTTGGGTGGAAGTCCTAGAAGCAAAGTCTCATTGCGCTGTCCTCTACTGAGGCTGAGTTCATTGCACTGTCGGAATTGTGCAGGGAACTGGAGTTCTATAGATGCCTGGTGCAAGAGAACTATGGGGATTGTTGCCTGCCCATCACTGTTTGGGAAGACAATCAACCCTGTCTGAAGTTGGCAGAATCTGGGCAGTTGAAGGCCAGAACCAAGCATCTAGACATACGTTTCCAGAATGTGTGTCAAAGTGTCAATCCTATTGAAAGCAATCCTATCAAAACAACACAGCAATTAAGAGGAAGGAAAGAACAGAGCATTGTGTAGCAGATCATATTTCTGATGTCTCGGAAGAGTACATTTCCTTTTTCTTTTAGGGTCCAGTGTGCTTTGAAGATGTTGCTGTTTGTTTCACGGACGAGGAGTGGGCGTTGCTGGATCCTGACCAGAGAGCTCTGCACAAGGGCATCATGGAGGAGAATCGTGGGATCGTGGCCTCTCTTGGTAAGGCTCCCTGTGGGATCGTCCTATCTGCCTGGATATTCAAAAAATACCTCTGTGTGACAAGCCTCATACATTTCCACATAGCTCAACAGTGCCCAATACAACACCTGGGAACCTAACACTCCCACAATAAACCTTGAACAGCAAATTCCAGTTTTTTCTGTGAACCATCTTCCTCCAGTTCTGCCTTTTTCTACCACGGTTGGGTCTCTGAACTGCCAAGGCATCTTAAATGTCAGCTTCAGTGTTAGTATCTGAAGAAGTGTGCATGCACACGAAAGCTCATACTAATAACAAACTCAGTTGGTCTCTAAGGTGCTACTGGAAGGAATTTTTTTTATTTAGCTTCAGAGTTGTGCGGAAAGATAAGTAGCTTCTGTCAAGTTTTCTGTTTTTGTTTTTGCTGCTGTCAGTCTTGGGTTGACCAGAGAGACGACTGACATTGGAGATGGAGGGGATACCATGACTGGGCCAAACAAAATCCATCCCAGAGAAGAGCCAGGCTTATTGAATCTCAGGTAGTAGTAGCAGTGAATAATAATAATAATAATAATAATAATAATTAATAATAATAATAGTAATTTTTATTTTTACTCTGCCCATCTGGCTGGGTTGCCCCTAGCTGCTCTGGGGGCTTCCAACACTTATATAAACCAGAAACATTAATCATAACAATTTGTCCCCATATAAAAAGTACATTAACTTTAAAATGAACAACTTACACTAGTGGCCAAAATTGTGGAAACCTTTTGGAGAAAGTGTATTTCAGAGGTTTGATACCTCATAACACCACTTTTTGGGGAGTAATAGCATAAAACTATATATCAATGGAAAGATAATTTAATGAAGAATGTAATGATTTTCTTCTGTCATGCAGGCACAGTCTCTCCATTCTTCAGTTGCTGTTCTGCACCTTTTCCTGCCTTTACCAGTCTGATTTTGGAGTGACTGAGTCTCTTATACCTCTTCAAAAATATAGACCAGCTTTGGTTAAGTTTCCCCCAATCTTTCTTCTAATTTCCTCATACCTGTAGCCTTGTTCACTTAATAGTACGATTTTACATCTCTTTCTGGGTAACTAGTCAACTCTTTGTACCATTTTTTCATTTTATTAAGTTTTACAAACTCACCAAATGAAAGAACCAAAAAGACCAACCAAATTGATAGCTTGACTGGTGTCATGTACCACCTGTATATCATTTTCATAATATTCTCTCTTAAGGCATTACATGCCGTGAATTTCATACCTGTGGTCCACAGCTGTTCCCAGTCAGCAAACTTAATGTTATGTCCAACATCCTGTGCCCATTTTTTTAATATAATATTTATTAATATTTTAAAAACGGACATAGAGCTACACAATACAATTCACAAAAATCATAAGTAACAGTCTAAAAAATATAAAAGAGTAAAAAAAACACACATAGAAAAAGTGAATATATATAAAAAAGAAATGACAATAGCTATATATAAAAAGAAAACAGAAAAAGTTTAAAATTAACTCCATCTTTCAATCATCCCAAGGGATTCCTGATTCTCAAAATATCAATCAAGTCCATATTGTCAGTCAATTCAAAAAAGGTTTTTAGTAGTCTGCCATCTTTGGTAACTACCTGTCTCTGTGACTTATCCATGTTTGTTTATACCGCCCCATTCATATCTCCCATCAAAACGATGTTATAGTCCATATAGTCCAATAGTGTCTCATGCAACTTCTTATAAAATGTAGATTTCCCCTCATTCGGTGCATAAACACCTACTATCAAAAAACAAATTTCGGTGACAGGCTCTCTTTTGCATAAATGACCACTCCTCGCTTTTTAACATTGTCCGATGAGATAAATTCTTGGCCCAACCTTTGGTTAGTCAATATTTTCCTCTGTAGCCTTGTCACATGTGTTTCCTGTAAACAAATTAAGTCCAATTGTTCCTTTTTAAGTATATGAAAGACCTTTTTCCTTTTCTCCGGGGAATTAAATCCGTGAATATTCCAACTTAATAGTTGCAGAGGCATGATGTATTTAAATTTACTCTCCTCCAACTGCTCCCAATAGTCCCTCTTCTTCTGACGGTGTTATCACTTTCTTTGTCTTATCCACTCCCAAAGGTGGTAGTCCTTTGTCTAGTAATCCTGGTGGTAAGGCTCTAAGCTCTCCTTCCGCTCCTTTTTGCAGGTCTTCTTGGTGGTCTCTCAAAAAAATTCCTTCTCCTCCACTGATCTTATTTTAAACTTCTTGCCTTTAAAGCTAAAAGATAGGCCTTGAGGGAATTCCCACCTGAAAATAATTCTGTTTCCTCTCAGCAAAGTCACCAGGTCTCCGTAATTGGAGCTGAGTTCCAGAAGATGTTTCGGGATGTCCTTAAATATTTCTACTCTTGACTCTTGCATTATCAAGGTATTCTGATAGTGCAGACTCAGTATTTTATCTCGCTCCTCTTTAGATCGAAGAGTAATCAAACAGTCTCTCACTCTGTTCTTTCTCCCTCCTTTCCCAAGTCTAAAGGCGTTTATTATTTTGAAGTCTTGCTTGTCCTCCAATTTCCAAAAGTCTGCAAATTCCTGTGTCAAATAGTCACTCAAGCTATCTTTCTCAAGTTCAGGTACCGCCCTGACCCTCAAATTGGTCTGTTTTTCCTTCAACTCAATCATAGACAGAAGTTCCTGATGGTCCCCAAGCTGTTTACTTATCGGCGTTATCCTTTCTTCTACAGCAGCTGCTTTTTCTATTGTTTCCTGGGCCGTCTTTTGGTTTAATTCTGACTGTTGCAGTAATTTTTCAATTGAATCTGTATTAGAATTCACCTTCTGCCCCAAATTGTTAATACTTGTAGTATTCTGGTCAATTTTATTTGTTGCTTTAGCAACTTGATTACTTGATTTGTCCAAAGTTTCATAAATCTTATTTTAAACAGAAGTAAATCCTTCTTCTGTCATCCCTTTTGACCCAGCTTGCACTGGGTCTTCCTCTTGTGGCACAGGAGGGCCAGAGGCAGATGCCCTACGATGCTGCAGTATTGCACTGGTCGGTTGGTGTCTCACTTTGCCTGATCTTGTTACCTTTTCATCCGATTTTGTTTGCTTTTCATCCATGGCACTTTATCTGGAAGTCAAGGTCGCTCCCACAGTCAGACTTGTTTTGCTGTCGGGCTTTCCCAAGCTGGTGCTAAGTGGAAAATTCCCCGGCCAGTTGTAACAATTTCAATAAGCCTCTAGGGGGACACAGTAATAGTCAGTAATAATGCAACAAAATGTCTTGCCAAACTTTCAAAAGCCCCCTTCAGCAGAACAAATAACAGTTTTAACAGTTTCAAAGTGTCTCACTTGCAGGGTTAACTGTCAGCAAGTTACATTGTTCATAGAGAGTGCTGTTCTCAATGCAACAAATCTATTCAGTCTTGGCAGTCTGTTCCCAGGAATTGAGAGGTGGTCTTGTGTCTCTTCCTTTCTCTTTTAAATTTTTAAATAGGCAAAAGAAATACTGTCCCTTCTTCCCTCCCTCTCTTTCATTTTAGGGAGGGAGTTCCTTAGTTAGACATTTAGGATTTAAATCTTTTTAACGCTCCTTGATGGTATTTGGCTTGGACGGTCTTTGCTTTGATCTTTCTACAAACCGGAAGGTGGACTTCCTCTTTGCACCTTCCCGCTTCAGTGCCGAATTTTACTTTATTTCCCTTAAATTTTCAGTCTTAGTACTTGACCTACTCACGGGTTGTTGTTTGACAGCCGAATTATCATAGGAAAAAAGGTCAGCGCTCTCCAGCAACAGCTGCGCGGCTTCACTCCACGGAAGTAGCGATCGACTCTCAGCACCGCGCCACCCCCGTTCCGCTCCGGAACCCCTCACGGGGTCCCTTTGCAAATTGGGGAGGCGCTTTCGGTGCCCGCCGAGTCCCACGGCCACAGGCTTCACCCGCCTGTGGTTTCTGACAGGGTCCCCACTTCACCGTAGCGGTAAGACCAGGTTTCCGCGGAGCTTCTCCCTCCGAGCTAGAAGGAGACCGCCATTGCCGTTGGCGCCGCCTCCGGAATTCTCATTTTCAAGTAAGTTTTATATCTTATCCAGACATTAAATAATGCTTTCCTGACAATATGGTTTTTAAATGCTTTATGTGCTTTAACCTTGTCATACCACAAGTATGCATGCCACCCAAAAACATTATTAAAACCTTCTAAATCCAAAATGTCTCTGTTCTCAAGAAGCAGCCAATCTTTCAACCAAAAAGCTGCTGATTCATAATAGAGTTTAAGGTCTGGCAGGGCAAATCCCCCTCTTTCTTTTGCATCAGTTAGTATTTTAAATTTAATTCTGGGCTTCTTGCCCTGCCAGACGAATCTAGAAATGTCTCTCTGCCACTTCTTGAAGCAGTCCATCTTGTCCAAAATTTGTAATGATTGAAACAGAAACAACATCCTTGGCAGTACATTCATCTTTATAACAGCAATTCGACCCAACAAGGAAAGCTTCAGATTTGACCATATTTCTAAATCCTTTTTAACATCCGACCAACATTTCTCATAATTGTCTTTAAATAAGTTCCCATTTTTAGCTGTCATATTAATCCCCAAGTATTTCACCTTCTTAACCACTGTTAAACCTGTCTCATTCTGAAACCTCTCTTTCTCAATCGTTGTTAAATTTTTCTCAAGGACTTTAGTTTTTAACTTGTTCAACTTAAATCCTGCCACATGACCAAACTCTTGGATCAGTTCTAATACTCTTTTATTACTAGATTCTGGCTCCTGTAGTGTCAGTACTAAGTCATCTGCAAAAGCTTTCAATTTATATTGTTTAGCTCCAACCGTTATACCCTTATTCAAATGGTCCCTTCTAATCATATTTAACAGAACCTCCAGGACCGAAATAAAAAGTAGTGGGGAAATTGGGCAGCCTTGTCGTGTCCCTAATAGTACGATTTTACATCTCTTTCTGGGTAACTAGTCAACTCTTTGTACCTTTTATTTTATTTTATTACGTTTTACAAACTCACCAAATGAAAACCAAAAAGACCAACCAAATTGATAGCATTCCCATAATACACTGACAAAAGTCAACCTAAGCAAGTTGTGCTTCCCTTTTTGGGTCATATGTCTATAACCTTTGATAGAATACAGATAATTGAACAAACTTTGTTGCACTACATTCTTGATTAAATTATCTTTCCATTGCTATATAATATTATGGTATTACAGTCATACCTCGGGTTACAGTTGCTTAAGGTTGTGTGTTTTCAGGTTGTGCACTGAGCTGAACCTGGAAGTACCGGAATGGCTTACTTCCAGGTTTCAGTGCTTGTACATGCGGAGAACCACCAAATTATGACCCACACATGCACAGATGCAACACTGCAGGTTGCGAACGCTGCGGATTGCGAACATGTCTCCCACACGGATCATGTTTGCAACCCGAGCATCCACTGTACTCCAAAAGAAGTGGTGTTATGAGCCATCAAACATCTGAAATGCACTTTTTTCTGAAAGGCTTTCACAATTTTACCACTACAGTATATCAAAGAAAATAACATTCAACAACCCATCAGAATCTAATAAGAAATATGTTGGTTAATGACAAACCACAAAGGTAACGAGCACACACCCAACTCCCTTCAGTTCTTCTTCATTTGTTCCCGAGGCTCTAATCCCTTTTTGTCTCCGTTGCAGATTGTGATGAATTGGAAATCGAGAACAAAGGTGAACACGACAAAATCCCCAGAGAGGAGAAGCCATGCAAAAATTTGGAGTGTGGAGACAGCTGCACTCAGAGCTCCAATCTCACTAAGCATCAGAGAATTCATACAGGAGACAAACCCTATCAGTGCATGGAATGTGGGAAGAGCTTCAGTTGGAGCTCCAATCTCACTAAGCATCAGAGAATTCATACAGGGGAGAAACCCTATCAGTGTGGGGAATGTGGAAAGAGCTTCAGGCAGAGCTCGGATCTCACTTCCCATCAGAGAATTCATACAGGGGAGAAGCCCTATCATTGTGTGGAATGTGGAAAGAACTTCAGTCAGAGCTCCCATCTCAATAAGCATCAGAGAATTCATACAGGGGAGAAACCCTATCAGTGTGGGGAATGTGGAAAGAGCTTCAGTCATAAGAGTGATCTCACTTCCCATCAGAGAATTCATACAGGGGAGAAACCCTATCAGTGTGGGGAATGTGAAAAGAGCTTCAGTCACAGCTCTGCTGTCACTAAGCATCAGAAACTTCATACAGGGGAGAAACCCTATCAGTGCATGGAATGTGGAAAGAGCTTCACTGATGACTCCTCTCTCACTTCCCATCGAAGAATTCATACAGGAGAGAAACCCTATCAGTGTGTGGAATGTGGAAAGAGCTTCAGTCAGAGCTCCAATCTCAATAAGCATCAGAGAATTCATACAGGGGAGAAACCCTATCAGTGTGGGGAATGTGGAAAGAGCTTCAGTCATAAGAGTGCTCTCACTTCCCATCGAAGAATACATACAGGGGAGAAACCCTATCAGTGCATGGAATGTGGAAAGAGCTTCGCTTATATCTCCAAACTCACTTCCCATCAGAGAATTCATACAGGAGAGAAACCCTATCAGTGTGTGGAATGTGGAAAGAACTTCAGTCAGGGCTCCAATCTCAATAAGCATCAGAGAATTCATACAGGGGAGAAACCCTATCAGTGTGGGGAACGTGGAAAGAGCTTCAGTCACAAGAGTGATCTCACTTCACATTGAAGAATTCATACAGATGAGAAAACCTATCAGTGCTTTGAATGTGGAAAGAGCTTCATTCAGAGCTCCCATCTCACTTACCATCAGAGAAGTCATACAGGGGAGAAACCCTATCAGTGTGGGGAATGTGGAAAGAGCTTCAGTCACAGCTCTGCTGTCACTAAGCATCAGAAACGTCATACAGGGGAGAAACCCTTCATTCTATAGCTTTAGCAGCCTTGTTAATATGCACCTTTTTAACCAGGCCTTTGGCTGATTGACATCTAAGGCCCTTTTAAAATGTGGTGGAGAGTTGAGTTACTGATGTGTATTTTGTGTTTTTATGTTGTTTTTATGTTGTAACTGTCCTGAGACATGTGGGAACAGGAGTCAACATTTAGAGACCGAGGAGTTTTTGCCCCCCAATAGTATATTTGAGGGTCCCCCCCAGTTGATAGGCAATGCCATTCCAATGCCCTTTATGCATCATGTGATTGATTATGCAAGGCAGGCCTTACCTCCCTCCCTTCCCACCAATATTTTATTCAAGTTGGCACCACTGGGTCGGATGGTATATAAATTAAATAAATACATTAATCGCCTTCCTTTGCACATGTTCCAGCTTGCCAATATCCTTATTTATTATCATTTTTAATATTTATGTGCCTTTCATCTGAAGATTTCACAACATAAACATACAAGATAAAAGCATGGCTTTCTCAAAGACAAGAAAAGCCAGAGAAATCTCCCCCCCCCTTTTTTTGGATGGAGTTACAAACTTTGTTGACCAGGGAATAGCTGTGGAAATAGTGCATCTTGATTTCAGTAAGGCTTTTGACGTAGTCCCCCATAATATTTTTGCCTTTAAGCTTCTAAAAGATGGGCTGAATGAGGAAACTCTTAGGTGGATTTGAGTAACCGAACCCAAACAGTCCTCCTCCCTGGTTCCTCCTCATCCTGGGGGAAAGTGGCAAGAGGGGTGCTGCAGGGTTCTGTCCTGGGACCGTTGTTGTTCAACGTCTTTATGAACGACTTGGATGAAGGAACTGAGGGGGTGCTCATCCCATTTGCGGAGGACACCAAACGGGGAGCGGAGGCCAATGTGGCAGAAGGCAGAATGAAGCAACCAGAAATCAACTCAACCCGATGGACTGGTGACCCCCTCCTCCCTTTCCTCTCCCCCCAAGCCATCAATACAGCTAACACGATCAATATTCCCCCCAGCCTCACACCTCCACAGAGATCCCCACCCAACACCAGTCCAGGTGACATAAAAAGACACTCCCCATTACCCAACAATCTACAACTCACTCTCAGCACCCCTCCCCACGCCTTACTAAGTAAATTAATTCCCCTTGTTGCCAGGATTTTTAAGGTACCAGTGAGCCACTCAATTGTGTCCCAGAATTGACAGACGCAGCAGTGGAGAAAAAGAAAGTGATATTTATTGCTGAGCAATAAGAGACCCAGTGGAATCCTTTCCAAAAGACTGGGCCCCGGGCTCCAGCGCCCAGAGGCTTTATACCTGAGTACATACATGACATAATCGATACAATCGCACACGGCAGCAAAAAGAAAACCAATGAGCGCATTCAAGCCTTGCCCCCTGATCATGTAAAGAGTTCCCTCCCAACTTCTGCTTTTTCAGTCTGAACATGCATTTAACCTTTCCCCTGATTTATGGTAAGGAGGAAGAAGAAGGAACTTCGGCCCTTACGCTCCTACGCGGCCATCTGCTATACCGGGACATTCTGCGGTTAGCATCTTCCTGTTTGAGCTACTCGGGACCCTGTCTGGACAGGGGGGAAAGTGCCAGCACAGCAGATTTATTGCTTCCCCCTTATGTTAGCGAGACATTGAGAAGAACAAGGGAAGCAAACTGGGGCAGAGTTCATTTCGGATTCTTCTGATCTAAGCAATTTGCTATAAGCTTTTGCAGAAGCCGTCATGATTCAAACATGGATTATATAAAAATCATTATAAGGATATATGGTTATATGGCTAACTGATTATATGAAAAGCATAAGGGGTAAAATTCCTCCAGGTGGTCATGCTTCACCCCAACCTCAATAAAACAATCCACAAACAGGCTAAAATCTGACAAACAAGCAGCACATTGGGGCTGCCAGAGCATATCAACACCCTCATCCCTACCCAAACATACCAGTGATGTTAATAACATTATCAACAGTTGCTTATGGCCTTTCCATAGGACCCAGTTGGTCACAGGCTTTGTCTGTCTTTGTCTGTGTAGTTTGTTCAGAGTTGCTTTCACTTCTGACTGAGTGAGACTGAGAGAACGCAGCTCAGCTCAGAGGCTTGCGTGTGTGCTTTTGGAGCACGGGAAAGATGCCGGAAAGCTCCGATGGAATGTGACTGATTTATGGCTTGTAAATAAACGCTTCTAGAGATAAGAACGAACTGTCTCTGGACTTGATTTATCCCTCCATCTCACACGGACGGCAGGACCGCTGTGACTCTGCTCTTCCTGCTCAGGTCGGCCTCAAGCCCCAAGCAGAGCTGCGCTGGGGAAGCCTGACTGGGACGCAGGATTAATTTCCCCAAAAATATCCACATAGGCATCACAAAGATGGTTGGAGGATGGATGGCGGCCAACAGATTGAGGTTGAATCCTGACAAGACAGAAGTACTGTTTTGGGGGGACAGGAGGGCGGGCGGGTGTGGAGGACTCCCTGGTCCTGATGGGGTAACTCTGCCCCTGAAGGACCAGGTGCGCAGCCTGGAGTTCATTTTGGACTCTCAGCTGTCCATGGAGGCACAGGTCAATTCTGTGTCCAGGGCAGCTGTTTACCAGCTCCATCTAGTACACAGGTTGAGACCCTACCTGCCCACGGACTGTCTCGCCAGAGTGGTGCATGCTCTGGGTATCTCCTGCTTGGGACTACTGCAATGCGCTCTAGGTGGGGCTATCTTTGAAGCAGACCCGGAAACTACAAGTAGTCCAGAATGCGCCAGCTAGACTGGTGACTGGGAGCGGCCGCCAAGACCACATAACACCGGTCTTGAAAGGACCTACATTGGCTCTCGGTGCGTTTCCGAGCACAATTCAAAGTGTTGGTGCCTCGGTCTAGTATATCTGAAGGAACGTCTCCACCCCCGTTGCTCTGCCTGGACACTGAGATCTAAGCACCAAGGGCCTTCTGGTGGTTCCCTCACTGCGAGAAGCCCAGTTAAAGGGAACCAGGCAGAGGGCCTTCTTGGTAGTGGCGCCCGCCCTGTGGAACGCTCTCCCACCAAATGTCAAAGAGAAGAACAACTACCAGACTTTTAGAAGACATCTGAAGGCAGCCCTGTTTAGGGAAGCTTTTAATGTTTGATGCATTATGATATTTTAATATTTTGTTGGAAGCCACCCAAAGTGGCTGGGGAAGCCCAGCCAGATGGGCGGGGTATAAATAATAAATTATTATTATTATTAAGACACTTAACACCATTTCCACTGACCACTTCCTATCGCAAACAACAGGGAGGATGGCCTGACCTTTGAACAAAGAACTCCATGCCAGCTGAGACCTAGGACCAACTGGCTAAATGCCAGGTGGCCCATGATACCCCAATAAACACCTATATGACTACATAGGGGATACTTTCTGCAACCCACCCCCCACTCTTCAACCCAAATCTAATTTAACCTCTAGGTCAGCGCAATTTCACTGGTTTGATAGACAATACAAGGTGAGAGACACAGGGCAACCCGGACGGGCTGGCATGGAATCACCCTATATAGTAGATAAGCAAGATGGCTAGCTTAAAAGCAATTGCATTAAATGTGAGGGGGTTGGGAAACCCCATCAAAAGAAAATGCATCACCTTGTATGTAAACACCATGAAACCACACATCGCCTTCCTACAATAAATACACAACCCTCCCAAACTCCTGAGCGATCCCTGCTTCAGTCATCTGGCTCAGCAAAGTCCTGTGGAGTAGCCATAATACTCAGTAGAGTCCTGAACTTCAAAGCCACAACAGTCCTCAAAGACAAAAGAGGCAGACTCATTTTTGCTAAAGGGACACTAGATGGCAAAACTAAACTGACAATTGGCTCCATATATGCCCCAAACTTGAAACAGCTAGAGTTCATCCAAAAAACATTAAACAAGTTCCTCTCCTCCGAAGGGGAAGCAATTCCGGGGGGGGGGGGGTGACCTCAACCTAAATATGAAAAGCATATCCCTGAAAGACACCCCCCTACAACCCCATGGGCAACCTTCCTCCGAAGGAAACCCCCAACAATTAGGGACTCTTACAAGTTGCTAAAAGCATCCCTTAAAAAACAAACCTCCTTAAAAGTTAGCAAGACAGAACAAGACATCACGGCCCTCTCATCACGCTACAAACAAAACAGGATCTTAAAAAGTCCTTAAAGCTATAGAACAAAAAGGGAGAGAACTAGATTCCCTAGAAATCAACAAAACAATGATCAACATTCCATACTCTCAACAACGCTTCTGTGAGTATGGAGGGGAAAGCTCCAGATTATTAGCAAAGAGGTGTAGGAAAAAGGAATACATTGCATCACCAAAAAGATCCCAGCTCGTCAGGGCACAAGTCCCCCGTGGGTCCGTGCGGTCAGTAAAAGAAGGAAATTCCCGCCAAGCAATTTGGAGCAAAACAGCAGCCAGTAGACTGAGATCCTTTCTGGTTGCGCAAGAGGTTCAACAGCAGCGTGGGAACCCAGAGCCATGGGGCGACATTGACTTTTAAAGCTTCCCACCATATCCCAGAATGCAGTTCATACAGCATCATCAATACGTCATTGCTACACCACTAAAACGTCAGAAAGGGGAGGGTTACACAAGATTAACATAAGGAAAATGAGTCAGTGCAAGACCCAAAGATAGGATTAGCATAGGCAAAGAAGTCTCAAGTACCCACCACCCAAAAGTACAACAGAACTTCCTTTGCATGTCTGGACCCCTTGGCAAGTCTGGGGATGGGATGGGGCTTTCCAATAATCAGCTCAGCAATTGTCACCTCTGGGCACTTCCTGGAGTTGATTTGATATGATTTATAAAGTGAGATATCTTCCCTGAGCTGTCAAGGCAAAAGGATACATTCAGGTATAATATTTGTAACATTTAACAATTTAAAGGTGCGCCCCCCCGTCATTTCTGTAACAGCTCCCCCCTTTGGAGATAAATTTGCTTAGGTTCCGTTGGAATCGCAAATATTTTCTCCACATTTAA